GTTTTTACATCTGCTGATCAATAAACGAATGTTTACGACAGGTTATGTATTCGATTTCGGTTTTATCTCCCGTTTTTATTGTGAAAAAACCCTAACCACATTACGCGGACTAAAAGCTTCTTGTTGATCCGGTTTATTTTATTTCCTTTCGAAAAGGGATACAGTTGATAAATATCAAAAAGTAGACCGAAAAAAAATTATATCAAACCAATAAAAAACAGAGTTTTATAGAAGTACTAAGATAAATATAAAATGATGGGATACCTATTTAGAATATAATACTGAGGCACTTATTGTCTGTTATCTCAATTCACATGTAAATTCGTATGATCGAAAAAAAACGGCGTCAATGATGGCTAGGGAACGACAATCGATAATAATTTTAGCGAAGTCAATCTCTAGACGTCTATTGAAAAAGATAGAACGTTTCTAGGCACAAATCTAGGATGTGTTTCACTTGGGTAAAATGTACATAGGTACATGTATTACCAAAATATAATTTTATTGCGACTGCGAAGAAGACTGCCTAGGTTTGAGATGACAAGTCTATTTAAAAAATAAACATATTTATTTAAATGCAATACATTCAGTTTTAAGACGCTCTGTACATAAATAATTATTGATTTTTAAATTATTATTCGCAAACTAGGGAGAGGGAAATTAGACGATGATCAGAGATGATAGGTGTTGGGTAATAGTTTTTAGTATACAATTCGAGACGTACTGATCGTTAATTTGTAAGTTTGGTCATTGTGACAAAGAATGTTATTAAAAGATAAAGTAAATGTTTTTATTCATTATTTCATTGGAGTTAACTAAAGCACACTGCTTATCTTCCTGTTGTAATATTCTGTTCTAAAGCATTTCCTTATTTATTTCATCTGAGAATTATATTATAGGTATATCATGTGTATGTATTTAATGGAATCGATTATGGTTGAATATCTTGAGTTTAAAAGTAGTCTAAATACAACCGTCTACTATCCATTCGTACCGATGTTTTTGGTTCAGTGTGACAAAAAGGGCCTTGTTGAGCGTACTAACATATCTTAGCAAGCAAAAATTGTTGCAAGAAAAAAAGTTGCAAATTAGTTGAACTTGCAACGGTTTTGCAACCTCTGTAGTGTAGTGTAACGTGAAACCGCACACGATTCATATTGGACTAGTTTTCAATCAGTCACAGATATGTTGTTTTTCGACCATTTCCCGCTGCGTTGCATTTTAAGAGTTGTTATTTCCACAGGGTTATTTTATATCTATATCAAAATGGCTGATTAAGAACTAAATATCGAACTGACATAGTAACCTATTTAAATATAATACTACACCAACTTGAATTTGAATTGAAACTGGTTCACGATGAGTTGCATCTATGTGCGTGTAGTAGTTCCCTTTAAGTTGGAAACTAGTTGTAGGGTAAACTAGTTTGCAACCTTTGTCTCAAAATAGTTGCACCGTGGGCGCTGGGTCTTAGTATCTGTGGTTCGGGACCTGGTAAACTAACAAAAATCTCTTCAGTTTTGAATGTAATAAATGTGAAATATTTTGAATCTATTGAACTACAAACCTTGGTATGAGAACTGTATGTCTTATGTATATTTTAGTATTACTTTATTAAAGTTCAGAACAGCATAGTTGAATTCTTTGGAATAGTGATCAAGGTTTTCTCTGCCGTGCTCTTTTACTTGCGAATTCCAGGCAGAGTACGACTCCTTTCATTTCATTAAATAAAATAAGTAGGGCTATTTACAAATTTAACGCTTGATTTACATAACCTATTCTCCTCAAATTTGCCTAATATTGTTTCTGTCGATCGCATCCGAGATTAGTCACAAAAAATATATTTAACACAACGATCCTTTATTTTATTTAAAGTTATTACTCATTATACACTCTCAGGGCTTTAATAAAAGCCAGTATCTGAGACGGCTCTACGGAGGCCGACTCTCCATCCTCGATATCAGCCGTACCAAAGTTCATGGCATGAACGGTCGTCGTCACGGCGCACTCAGTGATAAGGTGTTCTAGTGTTTCCCCATTTTCCCCACAGAATCTGCATTCGCCGTTGTTTCTCAGCTTCAGCCTACTGAGGTGTTCGTTGAGAAGACAGTGTCCTGTTAGAAAACCCGTGACAATCCGAAGATTATTTTTACTTTGATTTTTCACGGTCGTAAGTTCTGAGGAACTTTTTCGAGTGTCTTAGACCGTTGGAGGATACCCATTCCAGGTTACGGATGGAGTCTTCCAGATTCTTCAGTGCCGCTTTGAGTTGGTTGTTGGTTCCCGCTTGGAAAACAGAAGGGTTCTAGTCCAGTTAGTGGAGTGTTTGCTCCTTTTCTAGCTAGATCATTTGCTTTTTCATTGCCTTTCATTACCCTGAGTTGTTATACTATAACAGTAATAAAATATATTGCATCAAAAGTTCAAACTGAACAAGTAGGCTTTTATGGAAAATGTTTTATCTAGGGTTTGAACCTTATTTTTCAGAATAAGTTACTCATTTTACTACAAAATGTAATAGATTATATTTAGCTTAGATATATTATCTTCATTTCAGTAGTATATATGAAAGTTTTTAAAATAGTTTAGTAATGTTTGTTATTTTTTTTTATTCTACCATCCTATTCAGCTATTCAAATTTATGTATTTATTTTTTATTAAAACTGAAATATAAGGCCAGCTAAAATACAGAGTTTTCCAGCCTCGATTAGTGCAGTGCTGCAACCCATTTGAATTGAACCAACTCAACCGAAACAAACTATATTTAAACCTCGTATAGGTCGCAATTCGACCTCCTCTATGGCTGAAAACGATCAAAAGAGCCCTGTTCAACCAAATGGAACAAAATATCGACCCTTCGGTTACGAAAATAACTCCAGTTCTCTTCTGGTCTATTAATTGCATACGTTTGAAGAGAAAGACAGACACACGGAGCCCTCTAGGGTATTTAGTATGAAACTCGCCACCATTCGTGCGCCACGATGTACAACATCGTCCTTCAGAAAAGTTTCTTGATCAAGTTCGATCACGAAAACAATAATTGGAGGGAGAGCTTTCCGATCGCTTGTCTCCAGAACCATCTGCTTTGGTAAGAAGTTTATCTTGAGACAGATAGTGTCAACTTTATCCTCTCGAGTCCACTTCTGCACGTTTATGTTTTGCTCGTTATTTGATTTGTTTTCCTAACGGCCGACTCCCGGAAACCGCAATCTTTTCTGGTTTATTTATTTACAAAATTTTGAGGATAAATACAAATTTTCACTGGTAATACCAGAAGAGGTTAAATTATTTCCGGAATATTTTTCAAATTAATGAATATTTTTAAGGTGAGAAAATGTTCCACCAAATTGTGTTTAAAATCATTTTAAAATTATATTTTTTCATTTCTGAATATGAATATTTTTTTCTTTGACAAACAGCAGCACCTGGAAAGTTTGGTTAACTTGATAATTCAGTTGTCATTGTAACTAAGTAAAACATTAAAGCTTCATTTAGAACCTCGCGATTAGTGGAATAAATTAGTGGTTTCAATTACACTTTATACTTTTTAGTTTACGATCATTCACAATATTATCTAAAAAACACAATTAAAATTAATATTATATCCTAGCAGCAGCTTGTGGTAGTCAGTTGTATCCATAGAGAAAGCATAATATTTACCTTTTAAAGTAATCAACTATTGATTTCTAACCAAAAATTCTCTGGACAGATGATAATCAAAGGTCAAAAAGACATTCCTCGCAAATTTTGAAATATAATTAGTAGAAAATTTAAATGTTTATTAACTTTTTCTACTAATTGAAAATAGCTACAACTAATTTTGACATTCTCAATGCTGACATTGAAATTAGAGGAACAAACTTCTACGCTAAATGAAACCACTTATTAATTCCACTTATTGCGAGGTTCTGAATGAAGCTTAACTTACGTTTGAAAGCTGCCAGTTTTGTATAAAAAGGTTTCTCAATTTTTTAGTATACTTTTAAAATTAATGTTTTAAAATGTCATGTTATTTGTAATTTATGTGAAAAATTGTCGGGCGCAATGGCTATCATCATGCTATGTCATATCTGGCACAACTAATAGAAGCGGTTATCATTTGATGAAACACTACTTGTATAGAGTTGTTCAGGAATATTTGCATCTAAATTATTAAAAATTGAAACTATAGTCTGTCCAGCGAATCAGAGATGAGTTCTACAAAAAAGGCGGCGGCATCCAGTTGGCTTGGAAATGACGATCGATGACACTCCCAATATAATTTTACATATAAAATGAAAGCGATCTTTGTTTTTCGATTATAATAATTGTACTATGTTATCAGACTTAGGTATTTAATTTCAATTCCAAGTCCAGTTTTTTCGCCTTTAAGAAGAAAGGAGGTGGCGCAAGAATATACAAGGTGAATCTTACATAAGTGCAAATATTTTTAGCGGTAGTAAACTTCGACGATTTTTTGATTTTTTTTTAGTTTTTAGTTAAAAAACATAATTTCTAGATAATATGGTAACATAGGTGGTTTGGTTTGGTTAAAAAAAGATCTATAATGGTTCTCAAAATTTAAGCAAAGAATATTTTTTTTGGAAATTTTCAAAGTAAAATAACTGGGTTATTTTGGACTTATTTGAAAAACGGTAAAGAGAAAATGTATTTCTTTTATCGAGATCTACCAGTCCTGAAAATATTTACACTTATTTAAGACTCACCCTGTATAAAACACCTTAATTATGTAAGTAAAAAAATAAAGGCGTTTTTTTTAAACATATTTGAATATAGAAATTATAACAAAAAGTTATAATGAACTGGACATATGGAAATTTATTCTGGCCTATAAATGTCAGAAAATTTCCATTAGAATTCGCTGTTGGTTACTAGAGGGAAAAATTTCCGATAAGTTTATGAGTTGCCATGGTACACCTCGCGAAATCAACTATTTTGATTGGTTAAAATGTACTGGGGGGATATTTTCTTGTAAAATTGAATTAATTTCATTGTTTCAGTACGGAACAACTTCCGGGACCAACTTCAGCGGCAGGATCGGCCCGCACGAGCGCCTCCTGCAGTTTGGCTTCGTCTAGGGAAAGCAGTACCTCGGCCCCAGGCCCCACACCCTTCAGGGTGCTGATGCTTGGGGGCCCAGCCGTCGGAAAATCCTCTCTGGTATCTCAATTCATGACTAGCGAGTACCTGCATGCCTACGACACTAGTATAGGTAAGTAAAATCTAATATCAAACAGAAAATATACAGCAGAGGTACCTGCTTTATACATCCGCAGGAATGTACATATAAAACTATAGTTTCTTTATGAGCACCTTTGAAAAAACTGTGTGTGTACTATTTGCGCATATTTGAAGTGGAACTTCGTACTAACAGCTATTAAAATGAAGGATTTGAAGGACATGTTGAAAAAGTGTAGTTTGAAATGTTGAAAAAGTAATTTATGCGTAACAAATATTTTTTACGTGTAACAGATAGTTTTATATGCGTAAAATAAACACAAAGTCTTTAATACAAAAAATAAATCCTAATTGTAATCGAGCAACGTTACAAAATTACATACTATCCGCTGTTTAAAGCTTCAAAATAAAAAGCTCGGCAAAATTTTAGAAGAAAGGGAACCACTTAAATGAAACCTCTTCAGCCGAGTTTTCCGGTAAATGGATTTCCCGATTGCTTTCGATGACGCAAAGAAAACTTTAATTGGTTCAAAGTTTCCTCTATCTATCTATACTTAATATATCGTCTAAACCTCACTCTTATTGGACTAGAATCTTTCGAATCTTTATAGCATTTGGTACTAAAAGTTTCTATTTATGTACGGGAAGCCTCTTGAATAAGTGCTAGGGTGTATCTTAGGGGGTGGTAGATAAGGATGAATGAAACATATGTGCTATTAACTATTTTTAAAGTGAATTGAAAATAATCGAGGTATTTAATTTAGAATATGCTTACATTTTGAGACGCGCCGACCTAACCTAACCAGCAATCAACCGGATCTCAGCTTATCCGTTGCCTTTTAGGTAAGATACTGCCGTTGCTTCAAAGAATTGCGAAGATATGCAACCTAATGGGCGACTACGTGACAAGACTGATTTTATTTCCCCTTACGTCTCAAGTGCTGTACGGTGGAGCCTCTACTCGTTCTATGATCAATGCAAAGAACACTCATTTTTCCTAATTCTGCTAGCCAAGGCATATCGTAGACGGTGTGGAACTGAAAGCGACAGTGTTGCCATATAAAAATATGTAATATCTGTAATACGTTTGACAAAAATATCTTTGGTTAAAAAATGCGCGTTTTTGTATTGAAAATGTATTCGTGTTAAACAACAAAAATAAAAATTCTTTTATAGGTACTGAATATTCCGTATGATCTAAAAAAGTCGTGCAGTTGGCTAGGAAATGACAACTATTGACATTTACTATATTATTTTACATAATATGAAATAACAGCCATCTTCATTTCCAAGCCAACTCTGGCGCCGTTCTTTGTTTAATTATATAATATTATATTAAATTGTTTAATGATAGAAAATCCGTAATATTAACGTACTGTACCAAAAATGGAAAAATCTACGGATTAATCTGAAGTTCTGGCAACACTGCCTCTGACAAGCACCCTCTCTGTCATCTGAAAGCAGAACTACGGGGGAGTATTCTTAGTAACCGCTGTAAACGACGAATCAGCGCGCAGCGGCGCAGAGCTAAACTAAATCTCAGACATATAACGGAAACGCCAACTACATCTCGGACATATTTTGTGCCACGAAATCGCCCATAAGGTTGCGCATCTTCTTATTTCTTCAATCAACGATAGTGCACTCTTAACTTTATTGAATAGCTCGTGATATCGCGATAACAAGAATAAGTCTTCAATATTGTTCAGATTAATTCTGTGTAGTTAAAACTAAAATGCCCCAAGTACTGCTCCATTGAATTGACTTCAGTTCTTCATTAATGCAGTTGTTTTTTGATTATTCCAAATTACATATTATAATGAAATTTCTGTAATAGAGCCTGCTGGAGAAAAGCTCCTTCCGGACAAAGTGTCGGCAATTAAAAGGAAAAACAGTAGAAGAGCCACGTTGACTTAATAAAATTACTTTTCCTCTTGCTGTTCCGAAGTGTGTTTTCCTCGGAGTGAGGGAAAAAAGAATGGAAAATGGCGACAGAGAGAGCGTTAAATTTTTATGAAGATGAAATGAAATAAAACGTCTCTGCGGGGGTAGTTTTATATGTTTGACGCCAGACGGTGTGGAGTTTAATCTAGAATCTCGATATTATAAACTGTCGCCAGGAGAAGGTAATATTTTTGTTTGTTTGTTTAGGGCAAAACGATAATAAGGGCTATTCTATTGTTCAACTTGTTTTAATTACTTACTAGTCCTATACAGGGTGACAATATGCAGAGTAATGCGACGTGTATTTGTGAGCAGTCCACGTGTTACATCAAAAATATTGATATTTCAATACAAATTTTGTGAAAGCGAATCAAATTATGGTAATTATTGGAAAAACTGGTAATCTTCCGATTTTCACTAAAATTGGTATACCTACACCCTATTTTGAGGTCGTAGATTACGAATCTGAATTTCGAATCTCTTTTTTCCTGGCGGTCTCTTACCGTTTTCCAAAAAAAACGGAAAATAATTTCAACATTGAATTTTTCTTTATTTCAGCCCTATAAAGTAATAATTTCACTATATCTTCATTATATTATACTAAAAAACACACTTGATTGAGGATAGAAAAATGTCCAAAATTTTACTGAAAAACACTTTTCTTAACAAAATACCAAAGAAAATTGAGACCAGATGGAAGTTTAACATTTCATATAATATCCTTCTTTTTCTCTCTTATGCTATAAGATAGACAAATATATTCTAAATCTAATCTAGAAATTTGAAAATTTGCAACATTGCCTATTACGAGATCTGACAATAGTTAATTATTATATAACAACAAAGTTGCACAAAAAAATTTTGATTGCATTGGTTTCAACTTCTTTGCGGAGGGGGTTATTCTTTTTTTGATATAATATAACAAAAAAGATTAACCCCCTCCGCATCAAGAAGTTGAAACCAATGCAATTAACAGTCTTTCGTGCAACTTTGTGGTTATAAATAGTCAGATCTCGTTGGTAAAACAGCAGTTATGGGCTCTGTCATGGGTAGGAGCCGTTCCTCTGGCAACCGCCTTACGTAATCCCAGAGGGAGCGAAAAAAACGAGTTAAATTTAGGTTTAGCATTGGCAACGTTGCTTTAAATATCAGAAACACATAACTGAACATTTTCAGATTGATTATAAATTTATTTTAGTAAATTTTCCTCTATTGTGCATAGAATTGGCTAAAAAAGTAACAGAAATTAACAAAAACCTGATTGTTTATTGAATACCTTCAGAAACAAAATATGTGCTAGAAAACCTTAAAAATATGGGAAATTAAGAGAAAGTTCATGTTGAAATAATTTTTCGTTTTTCTGAAAAACAGCAAGAGACAGGCAGAAAAAAGTTCAGATTCGTAATCTAGGACCTCAAAATAGGGTGTATACCAATTTTTGTACAAATCAGACCATTTCTAGTTTTTCCAATAAATACTCAAATTATTTACTGATTTAATAAAATCTTTGATAAATAGATCAATTGATTTAAAAAAAATCAATAATAATTTGAAATTATTTTTTACTTTACGCTTATAAAACTATTTGTTAAACATAAAAAACTATTTTTTGCGCATAAAAAACTATCTGTTACAAGCAAAAAAAACTAATTTTACTTGTAAAAAACTATTCTTTAAGCGTAAAAAAATATTTTTTTAAATTATTACTTTTTCAACATTTCAAACTACACTTTTTTACATATCCTTCAAATCCTTCAATTGAAACACATAGTGCATACCCATTTTTTTCCAAAATATAGTGACATAGGTATTTCACGGTATGAAAATATAAAAATCTAGTATTTTAAAACATGCTGGAATTCTTAATATTATTCAGCGTTTATTCGACAACGGAATACGGATAAAACTAAAACACAAATAACAGAAAACAATCCAATTTAAGCGTCTTGTTTCAACGAGAATTAAAGGAGTAAACATTTCAATTAGCAGATGGAAAACTGTAAAACGGTTGGAAATTCAGCCTTCCATCATGTGTTTAACTCGCTTTATTCTTCTCAGACATACATTCTCGAAACTCTTCCACGCCAGCACGGAAAAATCTGAAAGTGCCTCTTGTGCTCAATTTATACTTTAACTGAAGTCGGCGTTTTGCTCTAACTCTTAACGATAAAACTTTTCGAATTATTGGTGAAACATACTGTAGAAATGTCGAAAAGTGGTATCTAAGCGGAGAAAGCTTAATCGCCTGAAAATCTTATGAATAAAATATATTATGAAAGAAGATTCAAAATAAAAACTTGAAAATATACCCTAAAATCACTGTTATAAATAAAAATAATTTGTTTTCAATATCTTACAGGTTTTATTTTACGTTTAATCAATGAATATTAATAATAAGTTCGGTTCTAGTTTAGTAGAGCGTTCGCTCCTTTTCTAGCTAGATCATTTGCCTTTTCATTGCCATGGCATGGTGAGCTTTCAATTCATCTCTTGGTGAGCTGGCACTCAGAGTAGGAGGATTTTTAACTTTGCCTAATTGTTCAGCTTCTATAGACATTCTTTGACCAACTTCGAATTGATGGTCACTGAGTTGATCGCTTTTAATGCTGCTTGACTATCAGATAAGATGACTATTTCTGATTTACGATAGTTCATATCCAAGATAAATTGTATGCATCTTTTGATAGCGTAGATTTTTGCCTGAAAGATACTGGAGTAGATGCCCATTGGTTTGGAGTATTTGGTTTTCGGCCCAAATACTCCTATTTATGTCCCTGCTTTGGTTTTGGAAGCATCAATATACCACATTATGGTATGGTCTTTTACCTGCTGAGCAAACGTGACCAGTCAGTTAACAATTTGTTAACAGATAGGTTTATTACTCGTAACATGCATTATATAAATACAATATGATGGAATAAAACGGCGTCACCAGTGACTTTGATGAAGATCGGTCATATTATTTGTAAAATTATCACATTTTCATGCCTAAAAACGATCGCATGCTGGACAAATTATTAATTTGATTAATTTTGAAGTCCCTTTTTAAGATTCACAATCTCACTGTATAAAACCATTAAGAAAATAAAA